TTTACAAAGTGCCACGCGCCACAATGCCAGCATGGTGATGGTGGGGTCTTCTTTGTCGTGTTTTGTGAAGTTGGGCGAGTATCTGTAGATTTCCGCGGGACATTAGAAGAAGGTGGGTCAGGAGTAGCTGATGGGAGATTTTTGCTCTTGCGTAATGCACGAATATCAGAGCTTCTCGGAGGTGTTGATTCGACCAGGTGTGTGTCTTTCTGCAGATTAATCAGCCGTTGATATTCATCAGCTATGTCATGTAATGTTAACTTGGGATTTTGTTCTAGCTGATTGAGCAGTCGAGTTCGGATATCTGTGAAACGAGGAGATTGAAGACTGCATATGAGAATCAAGGCTTTGAATTGATCATCTGTTAAGGACCTGAGTCGAAATCTCTCACATTCTCGGTTGACTGTGCCAACGTGAGTAAGAAAATCATCATTTTCATTCATTGCCAGCTTGAGGCAACGATAACGTATACTGAATAATGAGGAGTGGTCTCCGAAATGTTCACGCAGCAACTTTATTGTATCATCGAAACAATTGTCACGTGGTTTCTGTGGTAAAATTAGGTTGCAGTACCGTTCATATTCTGCCGGACCCAATTTACGTAGCAAAACTCGCACCTTCCAGGCATGGTCTTGTGAGGCGAGATCAACAGTGAATAAATCCTCATAACGTTGATACCATGTGTCAAAAGTGACATTAGCCTCTGGGTCATAATTGAACTGTGAAATACTGTTCACAATTCCGTCGACAGATGGTAGCATGGTATGGTTCGGATTGCTTGGAGGTGAAGCTGGACCAGTCTGTTGGTTGACGAACATTTCCATTAATTTCATTTGTCATTCAAACAATAATTCCAATTTAGAAGGATCCATAGTAAATTGTTATGTTGCTGCTGCTGAGTGGTTTTCCCCGTCGCCAAATTGTTATGTACTCGTCGCTAAATTGTTATGTACTTGTCGCTAATTTATTGTTATGGACTGGTCGAGAATCTAATAGTCCTGACGCGAGAAGGCGGAAATCAGAAGACCACTAGGTTTGCGATGATACTTCTATTGTCCAAACACAAGGAGACGAAAATAAATGGTCTCACACCAAAGTGTTAAGTGAGTAAAGTAGTTGTAAAGTAAAGTAGTTCACACAAATTGTGAATGCGAATATATATAAATAATTCAGACAAGCGTGGGAAAAATCATTAGACAATCTTAACATGAATGGCTAATTATAATGGAGTGTCGATCCAATTATACATAGCGAATATAGCAGACATGCCAACAAACATATATGGATATATGTCACCAAGCAACGGACTGTCAACAAACACTCATATTATATATAATATAATATAAGGAGAATACACATTATTAAAGGAGACAAGTTCATACAAGTGAAGTGGTCACAGACTAACCGAGCAAACAGAAAGAGAGACCAACATGCACACACACACATAAATATATATATGTGGATACATATCATATCATATATATATATATATATATATATATATATATATATATATATATATATATAGCTCAGCTTTTTCAACTTTAAGTTTAGGGTTCCAAAGTCACACTTACCACAGTTACAGGGTTCTACCTCTGTTTGTTTATATTGCATAAAAAAAATGAGGCTAAGAAATAAATGGAAAATTATTTCAAAAATATAACTTTAACTGTCTCAGGAAGTGGATGGATCCATTTCGTTTCGTTAGTTCTCTTCGGCTGCGTACAACGTCTAATATTCAATAAGACCAGTTATAATAGAACTTGATATAAGTATAAAACTTGGGCACTGTGGTAGAGTATAATTCCATTATAGATAAGATTTTTATTTTGATAAATCGCACAGTGTTTACAGTTATATGAACTGATGACGTTTCGAGCACAATTTATTGCTCATAATCATATCAAGGTAATCACACGACTTCCTAAATTCATTTATATAGTTCCATTGTTTTTCTCTTGATTTTCACTTGATTTGATTGGTAATAGTATTTTCCATATTTCAGGTATGAGTGACGAGTCATTCCTATTGCATGTGTTGGGTGTAGACTCGATGAACAAGGATTCAGTAATCAACCTCTCTCTCCACCTACCTAGATTACTTTTTAGAATTTTAACCCTCTCCCACCCTATTGTGTGGTTGTGTGTTAGCGCATGCATTGCAATTGCTGAGCTTTTTTCTAAATTATTTATCTTCTCGGGGTCAACCATTCTTACCTTAGCTAAATTTTTATGCTCTGACAATCTGACTACCCCTGACCTACTAGTTTGACCTATGTAGTTGACCTCACAGTCATTGCATGGTATTTTGTAAATAATATTATTTTGTCTAATTGGGTCAACTGGGTCCTTTAACCTACAGAGCTTGTCCCTGAGTGAGTTTGTAGGTTTAAATGCCACCCTAATTCCTATTTTATTCAGAATCCTACGTAGTGTCTCAGATGTCCCCTCTTTATATGGTATAACTGTGGATGACTTATATTCTTTCTTATTTATGTTATTATTACTAGTTTCACAATTATTTTTATTTTGTTTTTGGCCTTTAATGATCTTCCTAATGAATTTTATAGGATAGTTATTCAACACCAACGCTTCTTCTATCTGTTTTAATTCATCATTTAGATCTTTTTTGTGCTACTTAGTGCCACTGCTCGGTTTGTTAAACATTTAACTAAGCCTGCCTTAACAGTTAAAGGATGAGACGAATTAAAGTCTAAATATCTATTAGAATGCGTTGGTTTTCTATAAACACTAGTGTGTAGTTTGCCTTCTTCTATTCTTTTTATCTTACAATCTAACATAGCTAATTCTCCTTGTTCATTTTCTGATTCAAATGTGAATTTTATTCCCTCAACTTGTGAGTTTATATGTGTCAAGAAGCTAGAGATGTGTTCTGTTTTTAACACTGTGAAAGTGTCATCCACATATCTCCACCATATTTTCGGAGTAGGGTTAAATGTATTGAGGGCACTATTTTCCCAGCTGTCCATAAATATGTCTGCTACGATAGGGGATATTGGTGATCCCATTGCTACACCTTCTGTTTGTCTATATATTTTGTCTTGGAACTTAAAGATAGTAGATGTGAGGCATAACTGAATCCCTAAAATAATTTCTTCAATGGACAGCTTTGTCCTATGACTGAGTTCCGGATCCGCAGTTAATTCTTTTTTAACTGCTTCTAAGGCCATATTAACTGGTATATTAGTATAAAGACTAGTTATATCAAAACTAACCATTTTTTCATCATTTTCTAGTTGAATGTCATTTAGCTTACTTTTCATCTCATATGAATTAGTTAGTCTAGAGTTTGAGCGATTTCTAATGGGACAAAGTATTAGAGCTAAGTGTTTTGATAATTCATAAGTGGGGGTATTTCTAAAATCTACTATTGGTCTTATGGGGTAACCTGGTTTATGTATTTTAATAGTACCATATATTCTACTAGTATTATTAGTTTTAGGCATTAAAGTAAACCATTTAGACTCACCCAGTGACGGCTTCATTCTCCGTAATAATTCCGCTGTAGATTTCTTTACCTTATTCATTATTGTATCTACAGGCTTCCTAATTTCCTCATATGGACCCGTTTCAATATGTTCACTGACTTTCTTGATATAGTCAGATTTATTCAGAACTACGGTGGCGTTTCCTTTGTCCGCTTTTGCGATGACAAAATTCTAAAAAGTAATCTAGGTAGGTGGAGAGAGAGGTTGATTACTGAATCTTTGTTCATCGAGTCTAAACCCAACACATGCAATAGGAATGACTCGTCACTCATACCTGAAATATGGAAAATACTATTACCAATCAAATCAAGTGAAAATCAAGAGAAAAACAATGGAACTATATAAATGAATTTAGGAAGTCGTGTGATTACCTTGATATGATTATGAGCAATAAATTGTGCTCGAAACGTCATCAGTTCATATAACTGTAAACACTGTGCGATTTATCAAAATAAAAAATCTTATCTATAATGGAATAATAGAACTTGTTTGGGACTCTTTGGCAGTAAACACTCACCGAGGTCGTAACCCAGGACCTTCCGGTCACAAGGAAAGCTTGTAGACCTTTCAGTCACTGAGGTCTACCTCAATAGCCCATGAATTTCATCTTCTACTAGTTTGTGATTTTAGCGCGACCACCAGCCAGTGTCATCGGCGAGTATTTTTCCTCACGCCCAACCTGACGGACCCCACCGGCTGGATCTCACTAGAAAATCGGGCAACTTTGTCCTGTAGCTAGCCACCAGCAATCATCAGATTAATTTCCAAGAGTTGATTTCTAGGGATTTGGTTTATCTTAAGTTTGACCAGGGAATGATATCAGTTTTGTTTACCATCAAAAATCGACCGTAAAAAAATTAACAGCTTTGTTGTTACGGTGGTGAAAATTCAGCGATAAATGCGCAGTTAGAGATAATAAAACACAGTGATTAGAATAAAAATTTGGCGTGTACAAAGTCAAATGAAAAGATGATGCAGTACAGTCATTAGAATTCAAAGGACCGAAAATTAGATTTAATATGAGATCCATCTTTTTATTCGTCACACTGAATTTCGATTTTACAATCTTACGGATTCTAATCACTGTTTGGTTTCACTACAGCCTTCTTATAACAATCCTTACGGAAACAAAATGCATGTTGAAATTGCATTACAACCGGTTTTATCAGATATCGTAAGTTGTGTGCAGCTGAAGGGAACTGATGAAACAAAATGGATCAGTAATATTTAGCACCAATGTTTGTTCGAATTTATAAAGCGCAATTTGTGTATGAAAGTGCGGTGAGGAAATGGATGGTCTGAGTAGTTTCCTGTTGATCACAGCAAACGAAAGTATAAACTTTCTGGATAGTTGTAGAAGTTAAAAATCATAGATATTAGTAACTTTGCAAAGGGAAATAATTATTTTTATATTCATTGGTTAAAAATGAACACTAGATTATATCAAACATGGCCAGAAAACAAGTAATAATAACAATTTAAAATAACACACCTCAAACGTGTCATGATTTTTAACCATCAGAAGTGGTCCTCGAGCGCTAATCGAAAAGGCAGCAACCACGGCAAGTAACAATCCTGGTGAGTCACATATCAACATGTCCCAAAGACTTAACCACTCATCTTGGGTAAACACTTCGCTTAATGCAGTTTGTAAAAGTGGCCAAGCATAGATCTGGAAAATATCAGTAATTGATGTACACAGAGAACAGGAAGTAAGTTTATATAAACGACTGACTTTGTTGTTGTTGTTAAAAAATAACGGTTAATCGTCCGTCGGTCATATTAGAGAATTACACAATAAGTTTTGTCTAAGTAATAATAGTAATAATGATGAAGGGTAAAATGGGGTGAACCATAAATGTAAATGTTGTGTACCAATCACTCTATCCACAGTTAATATATAATTACTGTCAGCCGTTTTGATGTGCGTATATTCTTACCTACCATAACTTAATATTTCTAATTTTTCAAAACTCAATTTATCAAATTAGACTGATGCATGAGTATTGGAAAAAGATGCTAAATAAAACAAGTGATTTAAATTACACTTAACATTGAGGGACAATACTTATTTCATTGCAATGAAACATAATCATCACTAGACTGTATCAGCTGAATGCCTTTTAAAATGTCTCAGTGTAATGCTACCAGTACAGATTCACACTACTTACAAAATCTCATGTATGAACGGGCATTTTAGGAAATTAGGAGTATTAATGAGTACAGTCTCTGGTCTTAAACCAATCAAGATAATAAAAACGAGATGGTAATAATAGCATGGAAAATGGTGCACCTTTACCTATCAGTTTATTTTGCAATTGACAGTTGAGTTAAATATCATCAGTAGGCATATTATTATTTTTACTGTTCCCTTGGGTTCCTAGTGGAACATAGGGCTTCAACTGCACATCTCCAATTGCTTCTGTCTTCTGCTGTACTTTTCACCTGCATCCATCCATGTTAGCTCATACTGTTTCAACTCCTCTTCACACGATCTCCTCCATGTCACCCTTGCACTGACATCCCACACGCCGCTTCCCTTTCGGGTCCCACTCGAAGGCTTGACGCGCGGTGTCACCCAGCGATCTCCTCAGCGAGTGCCCGATCCATCTCCACTTTCTCCTGCATATTTCTTGGGCGATTGGTTCTTGCTTTGTTTGTTCCCATAGTTCCTTGTTGGTGATTCTTTCCGGCCAGGCCATCTGATCTTCAGTATATATCCAGCAAAGACAGTTGTTAATAAAGGTCTGGTCTGCAACAGGCTGTTGGGAATATTCTTTGTGACCCACCCGCCAAGTTTCTGATCCGTATAGAAGAACTGACTAACTTGACGCTTGTATTGAAAATCCTACCGAATTTTGTTGTTGATGCAGAGTGACGAAGATTTCCAAATTGGTTTCAGGTTGATGAATGTGTTTCTCGCCCTCCCAACTCTCGATTTGACACCATCGTCCGTTCCAACTGCCTGTAGTTGAGACAATTCTCCCTCACTAGATAAGTGAATGAAGTAACCTCTTTTCAATCCCTCCAGTTGATGGTGATTGGCGCTCGATGTTGCTGGTGTTGTTGTTGGTTGGCTATTTTCATCAGTAGGTATAAATAAGCAGTAATTCATCATTAATTCCAAGGTATATACATAGATTTGTAATGTTTTTTTTCATTAAGTATCTTCCTGATTCAAGTAAGGCGTTCTGCAATATCTGAGGCATGCTGACTTCTCAAGAATTAAATAATTATACCGAAAAGGAGATAAGATCAGAAGTGAAACCGTTTGCAGACAAAAATATAATGCTCCAACAATAAAGTGATATATGCTTACTTCAGTGGTGACGTTGTAGTGAACAAAATGGAGGTACAACTCTTCATCGGCATAGGCAATCAAATTTTCAATCATACAAAGAATATTGATCGGTGGATTAGGAAAGAACTCAAACCAGGTACCACACCAATTAACTGTAGGATGAGAGTATAAAGGTAAAATGAATTCCTGTACAGAAGTTATTTTAACTCTTGAAAAAACACTTTCACATACTTGACTACTCTTACATCTCAACACTTTTAAGTAAAAAGCTTCGCTTTATTTTTTAAAAATAATGCCACGTATATTGTAGACCACTTGTATCAGAAAATTATTTTGATTTCTGCAATGTTTCTTATGTTTTCAGTGGACAACCAAATCAAGTTTAACCGATGAAAATCACTTTTTTGTACTACGTTACAGAAATTATGTCCAGCATAGAATACTTAGAAGAAGCGACCCTACTTCTCAAAAGAAACCTAGCTAAAATGAATACTGGGTACAGTTCGTCGAGAAGGAGATGAGACTAAAGCCAAAAATGGAAGAATAAAGTTCAGTGCCAAACAAAATGCTGTGTATGAACCAGGACATCAAGAGAGACTTAGCAGCAGGTATCCTAAAGAGGTGAATGTTTAGTTCCCTGAAGACCTCTGTAACAACGCTAAGAGTGATATTCTCTAGTCAATTACTGCCTCTGAGCGATTTCGAGGACAGACTCTTCCACATGACTACTCCACTGTGCATATATCAACTCTTCTACTACTGTGCAGCTAGGCACATAGGTCATTCTATGAGTGTCCTTTCAAAGTGTTTTAGAGAACATAACACAGTATGACTGAAAAGAGGCCCCACTGGTTCAACAAGAACTGAACACCGAGTCAGCACCTGTCACAGTACCTCAATTAACTCATCATTCACAATCATTTACAAAGTGAATAGAAATCTACCAAAGGCAATATGTTTCCTACTTCTTTATACTGCAGAGGCCTCTGCCGCATACATTGAGAAACCGGAGCTATATGTTCGAAAGAAACTGGTCCAACCTCTACAATTACCATGGATGTAGATATGTTTGACTCTTTAGTTATTAGTTGTAGTTTTTCTATCTCCTGTATTTTTTCATCCTTAGTTATAAGAACTATCATGTCAATTTGTTCCTATGCCCATTTCGTCCACACCTGTCTTTGTTATAAAAAAAAAACTTTTAAATATTATACAACTATTTTTTAATCCTGTGTGTTTTTGTTTCTATGACTCCCGTGATCTGTGTTCACACCGTCAAATTTTCATATCAATTTGAAAATTACTAAAATTTTTAATCTCCATTCGTTACTATGTTGAATTAAATAACAGTTGTAACTGGGCGAGCTTATGCATAAAAATGCTATTGTGTAGCTTTTGAAGATGAAATCATCGAAAAAATATTTTTGCTGAGCTTCTTGTTTTTTTTTCTGTTTGGTGTCCTGACGGGTATTTCCCACGATTATAAATTATGTTCACTATGAATGTCCGAGTTATCATTTAACTCTTTTGCAAAAACACATTTACATAGAATAATCTCAAACGTAGTATAATCCCACCCACTACAAGCCCCTAAATGATTTATTCACGTGCTCTCGATGCTTAAATGTGTCTTTCGTGTCAGCTGTTGTGGCGCGTTACTTATTCAATCGAGGTTATAGAGGGCTATTATTGAGAAAGTCTGCCGTCTGTTATAAGCTGCCATACCATTGAAACGTTTATTCAAAAGCTTGTTTGTATACATGCTTGATATAACTTATTGTATCTTCTACTGACCAGTTGGGACAAAACAAAAAGCCAGTCCTATTAATATATGTGTAAAGCTTGGGCACTGTGGTAGTAAGTAATTCCATATTGGTTTATTTATTAGATGTATCACACAGTGAAACAGTATTATTTATTTATTATTATTGTTTATTATTTATCCACTAAATAATAATGTTTCACTGTGTGATACATCTAATGAATAAACCAATATGAAAAAGTCAGTCCGTTGTCTTACATTGGATTAGTAATTTAGATACTTAACGGTATACAAGATAAATCTGGGTTAGTCAACTACATCTAAATAATTCTGTCTCATCCATGATTTTACGTGTTTGAATAATCTGTCGACACACCAGGTAACATTGGCCCCAATTTTATGAATACTATAATTAAACAACATTTTAAGATTTTAATGACTGAGTAAGTGAGATAGACTACTTTTAAATGACCCCTCTTTAATCCTATTGGTTTCATAATATTCCAAGTGTTAAATATCATCTGGATTTACTGCGGTTGTTCCTCTAAAACTGGATACTTTCACAATTAATCTGATGCAATCTTTGTTCTTGTAAGTGACCACTAACAGTCATTTAAGAAGAATTAGTGATATTAACTACTCAGTTATATTGCGCTGCGTGGGTGTAGCTCATTGGATTAAACTCCGACCCTCATGCATAAGAAATATGTTGAGGATAAAGGAGGTCTAAGGTAAAATGTTAGTATCACATTACATGCGCAGCACATCTGATTATATGTGGTCGCTTTAACTCATCAAACAAAATAATGAATTCAATGAGGACTATTGAATAATCTTACTCCTTCACATTATTTTAGCATGAAAATACTAGTCATTTGAGCAAGAGATAATCATCATTCAGCCATTCCGTTTCGTCAAGAAAAAAGTCTTTAACTATATGAGCAATAGCCTCAGTGAAACAGGCATACGAAGATAGGGTAAAAACATTTTCACAAGCTTTATAAGACAAAGAGGCTTTAGGATGGACATATATCACCTCCTAACAAACTAATTTAGACGCATGATAATTAATAATTGCTTATTACAGAGAAAGCAAATAAAGTCGTTATCAATAATGGCTATAGAAAGGTATTTATCACTAAAAAGTATTAACAAACATTATAATCAGCTGCCCATCTATATTTTAAAACGTGTTTGTTTTGAGTATGAATACTCTAACAATGTGTGATCACGTCTTTCGGGGTGTGAAAATGCATTCACATCTCAATAGAGTTAAAGAACAATTTAGTGCACGGCTGTGATGAATTATAAAATACACTGGGGATACACTTTCAACACTAATTAAACAATTTCGCGCAAAAACCTATGTCTATTAGATTTTTCATATTTTACAAAAGTAGTAAGAGTAACAAGCAGGTTAAGTATTTCATATCACTACAAACTATTGAAATCATATAGAATAACAAAAGTAGAACCAGTAAATTCCTTTCCGCCAGACAACACATCTCTACTTCAAAAGTTAGTTCAACTGAGTGTACGTATCCACATTAACACACATACTTCGAATTGTGAGTAATAATTTCGGAATAACAGTGGATAGTGAAATCATCTATCAATAAGACACACTGAAGTAGATAAATCTAATCAAATTACATAGTAGACTATTTGAGCATTGGCTGCCTAACGACAATAATTACGAGGATTTATAAAAACAATTTTACTGGAATTGAAAACTTACTCAGTATTGTGGCTACCACTTCAAATGCATACAACAAATTGTTGTGAAACAATTTCACAAAAGGGAAAACAAATAATGGTAACCAATCAGTCTCACCAAATAACGGACACCAGTAGGCCAATGCTGAACAGACTCTATTTTATTTATTTAAGAAAAAAAATGGAAAAAAAAACACAACAGTTTATGTGTTTTCTTCATAAGAAATCAAGTAATTGAGATAGACTATGAGTTTTAACATCGATAAGTTCATTCTCTTTTGTGCTGCTGAAATTACAGAGTCCGTTCATGATGTTCTTAGCATTTCTTTATTGAATGGCTTGTTTGTAAACGTGACATGACCTTATCTTAGGTCAAGGTAAATAAAGCGGCGGGATTTACTTCTGGATAAATTAGTCAGATCTTGTGGCATTGATCGCTACCACTTTGGCTACTCATAACAGATACAACCAAGTAGCTCTAATAATTACCACCAATTCCTTATTCTCTAGCTTACTTCTTTGCCCCTATTCCATTGACAATATTTTATTTTAGACATTTTATTATTTTCTGACCTTTCTGATTAAGTCAATTACCCTCGATTTACATAATATTCCTCACAGTTATTATTGTATTCACACAAACCACTTTCTTTCCAGTTTAGTAAATTCTCCATTACTTAATTATCGTCTACGAATAGTACTACTATGTTAACACTACACCATCATTATTATTTTGTCATTATGATTGTTATTTATCACCCTTTAGACTTACATCAAGCGTACTCCATTTATTTGTTTAACTGTCTGTAGAATTCATATTGCCTTACCTATTTCTTTCTATAATTCACTCCTTGAAACATACATTTGTTAATTATTGATAATTGATGAACTTCCAAAAAATTCAATGAAACTATTTATGGATTATGTTAGTGAAGTATCTGAAACCAAAGAAATTAAAAACAAGATCCAACTGACTAATAGGTGAATCCAGTTTTCCCAATGACTCTGACCGGTATGTTTTCAACTTTTCCATGTCGCCTTTGACAAGACTGCTGTGGGTGTTTGGTTATTTGGATCCAAATTTTGTGACAGACAGGTATATATTGATCATTTACAGATCATTTTCGCAACGAAGTTAAACGGATTAGAATTTTAGAAACGATATACACTCAAATGAATAAAATACAACTTTACAAGTCAACCACATTATTGTAATAATCAGACAGAACAGCAATACTTTAATTTCTCTCAATTACTTTTGTAAAGCTTTGAACAATCTCTGACCACGAACGGGATATCGCAATGATAACAAATCATGAGCTGGATGAATCGCTTTGTTTACGAGTGTGTTGAAAGATTGAATATTACAGGGAAGCTGTAAAACGGATCGCCAAATAAATAATCTAACAAAAAAAACAGAAAAAACTTTTAGATATATCAAATCTCTGAAGTTTCTGTAGACAAAAAATAGGCACTTTTGAAAGAAATTAAAGTCAACGTATTTAATGGCATTTTGTTATTTGGCCGAAAATACAAACAAAGACGGGAAAATTCACGCGTTGTGAAAATACACTCACTCATCAATAGGTGTCAGTATAATATCTCTGGTTCTCAAAAGTCCAAGAAAACAGAAATGGCTATCGCGATCCGGCTGAGGCAACCTGAGCTCTGTGTGCAGGAGAAACGAAGCAAACCACTATCACTGCCCTGGCCTGTTGTGGAGTTCGCAAATTCATAAATACCTTATTACATCCGCCTTTTTGATACCGTCCTCCATCCTGTATACATAAATTCCCCTACCCTTGTCATTAAAACTGCATTAACTAACCCTTTGCTTTTTTATTTAAACGTAGTTGTTAACTTGCATACTGACACACACACACACACACACAACGCGAATAAAATTCAACCCCCAACATTTTTTTCCTCTATCTCCGTCCTTGATATGATCATTCATCCATCTGAAGTTTATAATAAATGTGAATAAAACTTAATATGAACATGGCTCATAAGAATTTATTACTATGCCTTTGTTGTCATTCATAATCATTACTTTGTAATTTTGTGTCCAGTTTAGTATTACAATTTTACACATTACCAAATACATGTATCTGTGACTATAATCTATTAAAAATCTAATTGCAAATAACTTTTGGAATTCTGATCTAAATGAATCGGTTACTCTTCAGAAACCACTAATGTTGTCAATATCAATCACTGGTGGATGGTGACTAGTAGTGGAATCCAGGATGCACATTTCATCTTATTTGGGACTCGTCATCCGGGTGTACCTGCATTCCACAGTGAGTGAGGTACATCCAGATGACGAGTGCGAAATAGGACGAAATGCGCATCCTGGATTCGACTGCTAGTCACCATCCACCAATTAACTTTCAATTACATGACCAGACATCATCGAAGCATCTGCACAAGCAGCCAACAGACATGTCAACCTGAGACCGAGCACTTCGGTCCAACAAATCATTCTTTCATTATTGTGGATATATAACTGATGATCAAGTTTTTGGGGAGAGTACTCTTTATTCAATGATCAATCTTTCGAAATTTCGAGTGGGCATTTTTAATCAATAAGATGTATCAAGGCAAAATGATGGAATATCAACAAAAATAGAACGTCGCATATCTGTTTCTATTTTCTGTCAACAAAAATACTTCAATATTTATGTGTTGGTTTGTAGGGATTTGATTAGTTACATAATTTCATCATGAGCTGACATTAGTTAGAGAACCATTGGAAAACCTAGGAGTACTGGACAGACGTCTCGTCCTAGCTTGGGACTCTTCATCAGTACGTACCCCCCAGATTCGCACCCAGGACCCTCTGGTTACAAGGCGAGCTCGTAGACCATTATGCCACTGGGACCCTATCAAATGGCCCATGAATTCTAACTTCTGCCAATTCACGACATAGAGCAACCCTAGCCAATGTCTTCGGCGAGTATTTGTCCTCACACCCGACCTGCTGCACCCTACTGGTCACGACTTCTCACTAGAACCCCAGGGTGCAGCAGGTCGGGTGTGAGGACAAATACTCGCCGAAGACATTGGCTAGGGGTTGCTCTATGTCGTGAATTGGCAGAAGTTAGAATTCATGGGCCATTTGATAGGGTCCCAGTGGCATAATGGTCTACGAGCTCGCCTTGTAACCAGAGGGTCCTGGGTTCGAATCTGGTGGGTACTTACTGATGAAGAGTCCCAAGCTAGGACGAGACGTCTGTCCAGTACTCCTAGGTTTTCCAATGGTTCTCTAACTAATGTCAGCTCATGATGAAATCATGTGAAGTATACTTCAAAAGTGTAAAACTATCACCTAATCTGTAATTAGTTTGCGGTTAATTTCAATTCTAATATTTTAACAAACGAACAACTGATTTCAGTGATCAACAGAGAAACACTACAAATAACTACATACAAAAAATGTATATATTACCGATATTTGGTCGGGAATTTCCCGAATTCTTTAAGTAATAGACGCAAGCGTTTTCTATCCAATAAACCATTTGTCTGAAATTATTAAAAAAGCAAAATACCGAAATTAAAGCTTACAAAACACAGGGTAAGCGCTTGTCAATGTGTCCTTGAGTTGTGACAAAGTATTAGATCCTACCATGAATATGGTGTCAATCTATCTCCAAAAAACACTGTGTTTATGCTCTTTAAAGATGTTAGCCTAATAATTGACATTGTATTCCATCGGAAAGGGAAAATAATAAATTTTTAGAAAATCCACTTCACATTTAGAATATTGGTGGTGCGATACACGATCGCACCTTTAAAATACATGTTGAAAACACACATAAAAGTAGATGATTACAGTCAATTTATAAGGTCAAATCTCTGAATACGATCCGGCCGACTGGCAATTAAGCAACCATCATCTAAAACTAACAAGACTTTGTCGAGATATGTGATGAATGAAATACGGATTTTTCATTGTATTTGTATTGTTCATCATTTATTATTAACAGAACTGGCATGCTGTTTTCCCGCTACTTTATTATTAAGTGCAATTATTAGCTAAGATGTAGTTTTTCTTGGTCTAAAGAAACCATAATTAATGGAAATGTACATCAAAAACAATAATTACATGAAGCGCTATGAAGATTTAATAAATCTGGGAGGTCAAAAAGTGTGAATTAACCTCAGCCACTGAAAAAAACTTTAACACAGGCCACCAACATTCACAAGCCATTGGTTTTTAGAATCTCAAGGATCCCAAAGAGGCATTCTGCACTTCTTTGCTTTATTCTGAAGAACAATAGAAGACTTCAGGAATTGATGTCGTGTTTTGTTTTGACAACCTAATCCTAAGTCAGCTTAATATTGCTCAGTAAGGAAGGCGATGGCCTCGTATGAATAACATATAACCTAACTACTTAAATCGATGTAGCCTCAAGACCTAATTAACTGATTTTCTCTCCTTATCAAACTTTTATGCCTAACCTAACATATTAAACCATCTAACACGGGAGATAAAACGCAGACGCCTATAATCGAAGATGACCGGCCTCTTCATATCATCCATTTTCACCGGCCATGTGTGACAGCCATGAAGCAGAACAGAGTGAACTGGTGTACAATTTACCGTTCAGTTATGACACCAGTTGTTAAATTATTCTCTGTCGATGTTGAAATTTTATCAGTTTATCAGGGTTAGTACAATTTCCAGACAGGTGAAATGGTTCATTCACCAAAACGCTTTTGAATCTTAGTTGATTGACAGTCGTGGTTAATTTACTCACCTTTCTTCGAACAAAAATATTCACCATGTATTCCCATACAAGACTGTGCTACATTCCCCTACTTTCATAAAAATTCTCGTTTCTGTAGAATTTCATGCCAAGAGTTTGTGGAAATTATTACAATTATTTACCTTTCGAAAACTAAAACTGTGGATATATATATATATCACTTGTAATAATATAATTATTATTATTATTGTATCCTTTAGTTCCTAGAGGAACATAGGGCTTCAGCTGCGCACCTCCATTGACTTCGGTTTTCTGACAACTTTTTCACCCTGCTCCAGGTCTGTCCACATGCTTTCATCTCCTCCTCGCATGACCTCCTCCAAGTCACCCTTGGACGACCAACTCGCCGCCTCCCTTTCGGGTTCCACTCGAGGGCTTGTCTAGTGATGTCACTTGATGGTTTCCTCAGCGTATGGCCAATCCATCTCCATTTCTTTCTGCCTATTTGTTTCACAATCGGTTCCTGATTGGTTCGCTCCCAGAGATCCCTGCTGCTGATCTTTTCTGGCCATCTGATCTTGAGTATTGAGCGGAGACAGTTGTTAATGAAGGTTTGAAGTTTGTTTGAGATGCTCTTTATGACTCGCCAAGTCTCTGATCCGTATAGTAGCACTGACTTCACATTGGAGTTGAAAATCCGGATCTTATTTTTGATGCTGATTGCTGTTGACCTCCACACAGATTTGAGAGTAATGAAAGCTTGTCTTGCTTTTCCGATTCTGACTCAACTGCAATTCTTGTAAATGTTTCTGATATGTTCTACCCTCTCTTGTACCTTGTTTCTTTTAGGCCTTTTTATTTAGCTCTTTGTATTCATTTTAACACAGCCCTGATGTTTATTTCCATGAAAAAACTTGAAATTAATTTTGACGGTAATAAACCCAGAAAACTAATAATTCAGGGTTTTTAATATATTATCTACTATTGTCATCCACTTATATAGAGCCGCATAGTGAACGAATTCTGTGTTCAAGATTTTCCCTATAACTTTAGTGTATGGCTTAGTTGAACATTTTGGTTCGAGATTCCTAAGAAGAAATTTACAGCAAAACTTATATTTCTAACAAGGTACACTATGTGAACAATAAAGCCAGATAAAAATGTCCCCTTTCTCATTGAAAATTTAATAGAAATTCGAAACAAAAATATGGCAATAAATTGTATACTATTTGCGAATAATCGCAATAATTATTAAAATCTCATGGTAGCGTGAATCAAGTATTATGCACAATAATGCAAATAACTGACACTTTTCTTAAAATCCAAAGTGTTAAAAAACACATCTTAAGACAAACTTTTTGGAGAAAGACAATTAAAAGTTCCAAGTTCTACTACTTTGTTAATAATGCTTTTGTCTTTCTTGATTTTCGAATTTCGCATGACATCTTAGTAACATCTCCTTAGCCCTTTACTTGCCCTTTCAACCCGTAACATAATTTGTTTTGGACATGTGTCTCTATTAACATACTATTTATTATCATTTTTTTTCCTTTAATTCATAGAGGAACATAGGGCTTCAGATGCACGCCTCCATTGCGTTCCGTTCTCTGCCAACGTTTTCACCTGGCTCCACGTCTGCCCACATACTTTGTTCGAAGAGCCCTTCGTGACGCGCAGTGCAAGTCTCTGATCCGTATAGTAGCACTGACTCCACATTTGGGGTGAAAATCCGGATCTTATTTGCATTTTCATGCTGAGTGCTGTTGACCTCTACACAGAACTGAGAGAAATGGAGGCTTTCCTTGCTTCCACCATCCTCGCTTTGATATCCTCGTCAGTTCCGTTCGCTTGTAGTTGAAACGATGCTTCCAGGTAGGCGGGTAGGTGAAGGAGGTTGATTCTTTCAGATTTCTCCCACTTATGCTGATTACTGTCTGTTGTTGTTGCTGTTTCTGTTGGTCAGGAATCTTCATCACCTCTGTTTTCTCTATGTTCACCTGAAGTAGTCCTGTCTTCTCTAGATGCTCCTTCTGACAACTTGTTGCTTTTCACTTGCATATCTTCCAGTTTGTGGGAAGTCAGATATATATCATCGGCGAAATCCAGATCCTCCAAGTTTTTTGTGTGAGTCCATTTTATGCCTGTTTTCTCATTGCCCGTTGTCTGTCGCATTATCCAATCCACTGCAGTCAGGAAAATCATTGGCGATAGTAGACAGCCTTGCCTCACTCCCGTTCTCACTTCGAAGGATTCCGTAAGTTTCCCATGGTGGATTACCTGGCATGTAGCACTTTTGTACAACTGTTGGATGAGATATATAATTGTTGGCAGCACTCCTTCGTACTTAAGAAGTAGTCTCCAAGTCACCTACCTCTCGATCGACGCTGCGCTATCGGAGGCCTTTTCAAAGTCGATGAAGTTCAGATAAAGGGGTGACTGACATTCCAAGTTCTGTTCAATGATGATACGGAGTGTTGCGATTTGATCAATGCATGACTTGTTTCTCCTGAATCCAGCCTGTTCTAGTTGAAGTTTTTCATCCAAGGTGTTTTTGATTGTCTCCAGAATGATGAGGCTTGGTATTTTGCTTGGGATGGACAGGAGTATAATTCCGCGCCAGTTCTTGCATTGACTTAAGTCTCTTTTCTTTCGCAGTTTGAATAAGTATCCTTTCTTCCAATCCCCAGGTACCTTGCCCTCTTTCCACACCCTCTCCAGTAGTGGTGCCATCAAATCCGACGATGTGTCTGGGTCTGTTTCCAGTGCTTCTCCTGGGGTTCCATCTGGTCCAGCTGCTTTTCCTGTTCTCAGCATCATTATCAGTTTCAGGATTTCCGTCTTCGTCGGAGCGTTGGTGTCCACCGGTAGTTCTACTTCCGCTGTTGTTATGATTGGGCGCGTTGTAAGTGGCGCTCGATTTAGAAGTCTTCAACTCAGTGTTTCCATTGCTCCACCCCTTTGATGATTGACTTTCCATTGTCATCCCTCACTGGCTTCATTTGTGTTGATCTCTTTCCCAATAGAAACCTAGTTGTTTGATAGAGTGTTTCGGGGTCTCTTTTGCCTGCACTGCAGCTTGTTCTATCTCAACTGGCATGGCTTCATAATATTGTCTTTTGTCTTCCCTGGCACTCTTCTTTACTCATTTGTTCACTGTATTGTAGCTTGCATTCAACTCCTGTTTTTGTTGCTCATCGATGCACTGGATAATCTTTTGTTTCACCATCCTTTTCTCTTCTATCAGTCTCCATGTGTTCGTAGTGAGTCACTGTTTGTCCTGTCCCTTCTTTCTGCCTGGTCTATGTGCAGCTCCTGTTTCTTTGAAATTTTTTAATTTGATTTGGAGTGTTCCTTGTACATCTGCTCCTTTTCTTATTTTTGTATCCAGTAAGCTGCCTCTTCGCTTACTCGAGCAACGTTGAGATGAAGTCAATTCGGTTTTTGGTTCGCCCGTCTGGTGACACTCATGTAGTCTTGTTGATATCCTTGTATTTGTGTACGCTGCCTCCAATCACTAGTTCATTGACGGCACAGAAGTCAGGGAAGAGTTTTCCGTTTTCACTCATCTCTTCGAGAGCTTCTCTACACATGATGAGTTATCTTGTTGTGTTGTCTGCTCGCAGTTTGGCGTTTATGTCTCTCATCAGTACTTTAATGTCACCGACTGGAGAATTGTCCACTGCTGCCTGTAGCTGTCTGTAGAACTCATTTCTTTTCAAGGTTTGGCTGTATAGTATTGCATAATTGTCACTCTTCTTCCTTTTCAGTTGAATGTAGCGGTCATTATCCTAAGTTAGATCGCCTCGCATTGTATCAGGGGCTTCGTTGCTGTCGGTGAGCTCGTGGTTGTCTTCTGAGTGACCGGAGTAGATCACTGACTATCCCGTTGACGGTTTTGTGAGTCCACTCCGATTCTACGTGGTTTCGCATATTACCAGTACTTGAATACTGTCTTTTCATCTCATTTGCAATGTGGGCAGCTTTGCCAGCCTTATACATGGTGCGGACGTTCCATGTCCCCACACAGAGGTCTTTCCTCGTCTCAAGAAGACTCATGGTACTTTTTTTATCACAGCTTGATTCCACACTGTATTTTTGGTACAAGTATGGAATTTTCAGCATGGATATCGGTAGCCCAAATTTTGCAGGCCGACCATAGATATCAGGTGTGCGTCGGCGTGGGCTCGAACCCCGGACCATGTGTATGGTCGGTGAGAGTCCTAACCACTGTGCCACCGACGCACATGTACTAAAGTTTCTGTAGGAGAGATTCCTAGTAGGGTGGAGTTGCTATCGTCACGCCCGAGGGGGACGTTTTTCCATATATATGGAAGTTACAGAGGAGCGACTTTTCCGGTGGCTCTCTTAAGAATCAGGAAAAAATAAGTAAAGCAATCAGAACAACAAAAAAGTCACAACAAGAAAGGCAGCAACAACAACAAGAACCGTAGCAGTAGTATCACTGTCGAATACAGTTGAAAAAAATGATATCAAAACCATAGACTCACTGACATGGGCATGTAAATCCAACAATATATTCAGTTATAGATATTAGCTACTGTTGAACAGTCACAAAATGCCAAACGGATAGTTATAGGTATTTTCGTTCAACAAGATTATATCCACAGATTCAGTGTTTGATGGTAAACAAATTACAATAAATTTCAAAATTTCCTGACCAGAAACATCAGGGAAATACAACATTTTAATGACACATTTTTAAATTAAAAGCCTAGCATCTAAAAGACAACTTACAAGGTCTTCCATTTGCATACTAGAATGATTCGCTGTACGTACTGCTTTAGTAGTATTTGCAGTCTTTTGTACGACTGAATTTCCTTTTTGCCAATTCTTCTTCACGGCTTGAACTCGACTATCTGTTGAATTTTCCTTCGAAGGATCCCCTCTCACTGGAATCAGCGGTATTGATGACTAAAATTTAGATGAATGAAACAATTCTCAATTTAAAAAGTACATTTCACCTATATAGTAAAATAGTAAATATAGTAAAATACATTACTATATAAATTCTAGAATCGATGAATTTATTTGAAGTTTGTGCATCTACTCACAGGCTTTAACATTCGACTAGCGAAAATATGCAGCCCTTAACATTGATGCTATGATTTGATACGAAGTGGACTACGTATATCTATCCTAAAATACTACACTGACATGTTCAGATAAGTGAATGAGTACAAATCAGTATATTTTTAGTTAAATTCTGTGTATAGAGTCATTAAGAAGGATAATAACAACATATACAAGAATGTAATCAGGTGTTTAAAAGTTAACCAGTCCATGGTGAAATTGAGTATGGTTTCTTCCAGGTCAATATATTTGAACATGAAAGCTAGAGAGCATTAATGTGAGTGCGTCTGAATAACTTATATCAGTTACTAGGATACATGACAAGTGATTTTAAATGAATTCGTGAACAATGACAGGGTTAAAGTCACTACTAACATGAATCATTTGCAGTATCTAACTAATGTACCAAAATCAAAAAATGTTTCTTTAAAAATGGATTATGAAATACTTTTACCACAACAATCTCTTGTTTTACAGGAGAAGTTTACAGAATAACCACCTTTGACAGCTAGAATGATAATACCGATGACTTACAAAGTCACACTTGAGTAGTCCAAAAGCTACAACTGTTCAATATATGTCAACAAAATAAACTAAGAATAACACCACTCATTATGTTGAACCTACTGGGCTGTGAAGAACTATTCAGAAAATTTTAATCCAGAAAACTTAAAGCATAGAAGAATCACCTGCAATAATGCTAATATGCATAATAGTACGTCTTTGAGTCGATCCTCTAGGAAATTCGCAGTATGGGAGCATGCATACGGAAGACATTTTCATTCCTGGTTTAGTTTGTCTGGAACCAATAAGTAGTATTTAAACAAAATCCTTTACGCATTAACCTCGCCTAATTTAATGGCATGCCCTAAACCCGGGAAAAGAGGGGAGGTTGGGCGTCGAACTTAGGACCCTACCCGAGAAAATCAATCGTATTTCTATAGAAATTACAAAAAACAGAAAATCATCAATAATAAATATATTCTTCACTGAAGTTAGAGAGACAGAATGACGCAGGCTGGTGAAGGCCTTCGAGAAGCCAGTTAGTCTGTTTTATTCAAAGGGAGCAAATATTCACGAGGGGACATGGAATGTTCGCGCCGTGTTAGCAGCTGGCTGGGAAGACCACTCAGATTGTAAAAAAATGAGAAGATATGACATAGAAATACTAGGAATCTGTGAGAGCGGGGGAAATAGAAGTGGACTCTTCAAACTGTTAACTGGAGAGTCAATAGTATGCTCCGGTCACCCAGACAACAACCACAAGCACATCGGGGAAATGGCTATTATGTCAGCAACGGCATTGAAGGTTCTTATGCAGCGAGAACCAATTTCCCTCAGTATTGTGACTGCAAAACTCAATTCAAAAGAAATGAAGTTACAATTAACTAATTTTACGCACAGACAAACAACTCTGAAAAACAAGATAAAGTAGATTTCTACAAACAATTGCAAACAGTAATGAATAAGGTCCCAAAAGGCGATATCGAAATCCGAATGTGAGATATGAATGCTAAACAGGGAGCAGACAACAAAGGACGAAAATTAATCATGGGTCGGTAAGCTCTCGGCGAAATGAATGAGATTGACATCAGGCACCATGACTCTAGTGGAACACGAATGGGAAACGGTTAGTTAGGTGTCCCGCGTTACACGGAGGAGGACGTATGAGGAGGAGTTAGAATTTATGGGTAATTGGGAAGCCAGCTAAAGAGGAGTGCAGAGAACGGAATGGAATGGATATGTTCCACACGGATCCCAAGGGAATAACAATCAATATCATAATTAAACACTAAAGGCCGTTTGATTTTCCAGTTTTTGTATACGCACTCTCTTACATCTGTCCTGTAGGAGATTTGACCATTAAACTAAATTCTCTTTACAAAATATAAATAAATGGATTGTAGTAACTGTTTAAAAATATAAAATACAAATACCTATGAATAACAAATAACATACCTTACTGAAAACCTTCAATGTCATGGAAAGATCATATACATGTAGAATACCATGATCATCAAGAGTAGCCATTAGCGAAGGACAGTTAAGAGATTCACTCTGCTGATTTCCCTGGCAGCTGGAGAGATCCAAAATGTTACATGATGGCATATTAATTGATGATACCAGAGGATCTTCTAATGAACCCAACCCAAATGTAAATAGGCATTTCCAAAAGACAGTATCTGAATACCCTGTAAATAGATCCTTCTCAACATTTTGCCGACAGCTTAAGGTCTTTCTAGGTCTTTCATGTGTTCTGATGAGAAATCGTAATCGTTTGTCACTGCCGAGTAAAAGTAGTAAACCAGATAGCTGAAATACAAAAATAATAGATACAAAACATAATGACTGCAGTAAAAAAAATAAATACCTGCAGAACAAGAGAGCATTACGACAAGTGATACTCACAGCATTAATAAGGTAAACGCATAAGTCATAGCTGGCTTAGTTTCAACATAGCATTAACCACAGAGAGGTAACACTTTAAGCTGTCAGACTCCATGTAGTACACAAACGTAGACAAAAGAGATTCAAAAGAACCATAACAAAAAGAAATGTGATGGAGAAGCATAGTAACGTGGAAAACAAGGAGAAACATGAGTTTCGTGGGGAGATCACAAACTGTGAGTGCATATGAGCCGTTGAGAACCATTTTGAGACCACTAATAGTCTCCAGCATCCTAATTAGGCACTCTAAACCTCCATATGTGACTCAAACCAACTGTTAAGGACTTCATTGATTGATGCCACGTTTTGGTTTCATCATTTCTAATTCTTTACCAACGTAATCCTATGTCAGCTAACATTGCTCAACCATAAGGTTGATGGCTTCGTATGTGCAAACATGTGTTCTAGCCATCTCAATCGGTGTAATTGCATCACCTCATCAATTGACTTATTCTCCTGATATTACACTCTACGCCTAACTTCATTACTACTAATCACTATACTGTAATACTTAACGGGGGGCATCGAAAGTAGATATCTGTGGTCAAAGGCAGTTATTCTTGTCATATCTTCCACTTTCAATACACATGTGTCCCACAGCTGTAAAGGAGAAGAGAAAAAAAACTGAACGGTATACGTCTCCTTTGATCAATTAGTCGGATATCACATCTACACCAGAGATGACGCAGGTTATATGAGTATTTCGTATCCGTGCTGAGATCTCGTCCTCAATTAGTCCACTGTGGCTGATACAACTTCCCAAATAAGTGAAGCGGTCAACACACTCAACTTCCTATCTTTAAACTATGAGTCGGTACATGCAGAGCAATCATGTATTATCGTCTTAAATCTGACAGGAGAAAACCTCATGCCAAACATTCGAAGATTGCTGCCTGTCAAGGTGTACAGAAGACTCTGCATTTATCAGCGTCATCATCCGCATATTCTAAGTCAGTAAGACTATTCCCTGATAACAAGTCAATCCCCAAGTCGCTAATGTAAATTACAGTCAACTCCATCATTACATGTATGATGAGATTAAACGAGAATGGGGACAGTGGGCACCCCTCACAGACACCACTGGGTGTTATCCCTTCAGATGAAAACTGTCCGGAAACTTATACCCAGCTGTGTGAGTTCGAGTATAGTGCCTTGATTAGTGCAATGCATTTTCTCGCCACTCCCTTTCACAGCCAAACATTACCTGTTGGCCGGCAGAGTGGAGTGCCTCCTTGAGGTCGAGAAATACGGCTATTGTTGGATGCTACTAAATATCCCTATGTTCCAGAATCTGTTAAAGGATGAATATATTGCCAATACACCCCCTTCATGATCTAGAGCCTGCTTGGTCTCCTTGGGTTTGTTACTTTCGAGAGTAACTTAGTCTACGCACGATCACTGGACCTAGAACTTTGAAAACTATGCTAGTTAAGCTAACTCCTCGGTGACTATAACACGAAGACATCTCTATTGTATTATATATAAACTGGGATAATCAATGACCTACGCCAGTCTGATGGAACTACCTCCGATTTCCAGAAATTATTTAATATCTTATTTAGCCCAGATGACACTTCCTCATCACCGTCCTGACGCCTCTGGAGACATTCATCATTTCCTTCTGACCGATAGCCGCTACCTTGAAATGGTGGTCGTGCTTGCATACCTCGATGACTCGACACACTACAATGAATGGAACTAAGGTTCCAGCAGTTCCTCTCATCCCAGGAAAATTGTTAGGATAGTGATTGCACTGAGAGCAGTTATCGCCATAGTGTGAGAATTTTTTACACTATGCTGGGGTCTGTGGGCGAAGTCGTACTGCTGGGAACAGGGATGTAATAGCACCAAGGTGTTTCTATCGGATAACCAGCGTATTAGCCATGCTGTCTCTCTACTCTGGAGACAGGATGTTTGAAAAGGTCTACCTCAACAATTGTATATCCCGACTCAACCGACGGTAAGTTACTAATATGGAACCAATCTAACAAACTAGTTCACACAGGCCGTGTGTTGCCAGCCTCAGGCAGTTGTCCCGTGTGCTCTGCAGTTACGCAACCCTAACTCCCGAAGGATCAATCAACTTCCACGGTGTGGGCAGCCAGAAAGTAATAACGGCCTATACAGTCCAGAGGTACTCGAAGCCCTCCTGATCTTCATCCCCATTTTACCCCTGCCGCTCCAGTCAGTCTTGTCACCCTTTTCATCTTGCTACCCTACTACTCTCAGTACTATTCTGAAGGCTAGTCAGTCATCTTCATTTCACAAATAACGATGAGGCATAGAAACACACACGATAGCCTCTTAAAGCCATGTCGCCAACTTCCTATTGGAGCATTTAACCTCAGGATCCTCTCCCGAATCGAAAAACAGGCATAACTAGCAACAACTGTCACATCTCGATCCATGGATGTATTTTGTGTCTCGGAGACACGCATATAAGACCCGAGTGTGGTTATTCACTTAACCCCACCCAGCCAACAAGGTGAGTGCGAAATTCACTTTAGAGGTGCCAGGAGACTCCTTAGCTAGTTTGCGAGGACTTGCAGGTGTAAGGACAGAGATCAAGACACTGAGTCCCTTATTTAAGGAAGAAATAGTGAAACAAGCATCTGAGGTCGACAGCAAGACGCCTCCTGAGGAAGTCTAGCACAATATACAGTTAGCTGTAGATACAGCTGTAAAAACTGTTAATAACCTGAAACCAAACGTTAGTAAAAGCCAGTGGATTTATACTACCTCATTCAAAATGATTAACACAAGAAGACTGATTATGGCGAGTTCCCAATACGATGACGAGCGAAAGCTGCTCAGATGTAAACTAACAAAAAGCCTTGGTAAGGACCGTGAACAGTGGTGGGCGACAAAAGCAAAACAGACGGAAAAAACACCGGTGACACGTAACACTAGACAAATATTTAGAATTGTCGGGGAAACAGGCGGCAAAAGGCTCTCAAGATAAACGGCTGAGACGTTGGAAAGAACACTGTGAGGAACAGTTTAACTGGCCTACAGTCACGCTCAACTTACCAAGCATTCAACACCTCTCTGAATGGGATATGAACATCGATTCTCCGTCCCTAAATGAGGTTACAGAAGCTACCACTAATCTAAAACGAGGCAGAGCAGCGGTACCTGATGGAATGACTCCAGAGATGTTTAAGGACGGCGGAGACAGTTCATTGTCAGCGTTAACTAAGGTAATAGGTAGCGTCTGGGTATCAGAGGAATTCCCGTCGGGTTGGTGTAAGCCCCATATACAAGAAGGGAAACAAGTCTTCCTATGATTATCATAGGGGGAACAGCTTGATTAATATGGTATCTAAAGTCCTAGGCTCAAAAATAATCTGTTGACTAAGCGGTGGTCGGGAGAAACAAACATGAGAGAGCTGGAAAGGCTTTAGACTAGGAAGAGGGTGAATTGATCATATCTGAAGCATAGGCATTCTTATCGGCGTCCAACAATCGTCATATTTCTTGACCTAAAGGCGAAATGAGATTTTGTCGACCAAGAGGTACTCTGGCGATGCTTAGCTGTGAAGGGAATGCCGAGAAAGTACATCGCACTGATCAAGGCACTCTACTCGAACTCATACAGCCAGGTGAGAGCTTACGGAGAGTTGTCATCCGAAGTGATGATAACCATCGGCGTCCAGCGGGGATGCCCACCATTCCTATTTCTATTCCATTTCATCATAGATGTAGTAATGAGATTAACCCTAAATGCTGACTTCAGAGACTCAGAGATTGACTTGCTACCAGGGGATAGTCTAGCCGACTTCGAATATGCAGGCGATATAGTCCTTCTAGGTGAAGATTCTGACAAAACGCAAAGTCTTCTGAACACCTTGAGATGCAATCTGAGAATGTTTGGCATGAGATTCGCTGCCACGAAATACACGATGATGTTGCGGGACTGGACTGGACTGCATCGACTCCTAGCTTATAATTAGGGAGTGAAGTGGTAGAGCGTGTTGACAACTTCACTTATTTGGTAAGTTGCATCAGCTAGTGCCAACGGTTTGACCGCTAACGAAATCTCATCACGGATACAGAAGGCTCGTTTCGCATATGCAAGTTTACGCCGTCTCTGGCGTAGACGTGATATCCGGCTATCGACCAAAGGGCAGGTGTACTGCTCAGCAATCCACTCCGTCCTCCTTTATGGCTGTGAGACCTGGTCACTGAAAGTTGAAGACATGAAAAGGCTAGCTGTCTTCGATTATAGGTGCCTGCGTTCTATCTACAGTGTTAAGTGGTTTGATAAGGTGAGCAATATTGAGTTTAGGCGTCGATCAAGTGCAAGATAAGAAGGGGAAATCAATTGACGAGGCTGTGAAGCAGTTACATCGATTGAGGTGGTTAGGACATGTGTTACGCATGTATGCATACACATCGATTAGCTTCATTGACGCGCAATGTTAGCTAACATAGGATCAAGTTGGAAAAGAGCCAGTGGTGGTCAAACCAAAACATGGCTTCATCAGTCAAGGAAATCCATAACAGTTAGTTTAAGCTACGTAGGAAGATGCAGACTTCCTGGTTGGGTCCTCGAAACGGTAGGAACCAATGGCTGGATACAACTGGTGATATGGATCAAAACCGTTCTCAATGGTGCGGATGCATCCACTCTTTGTGACTTATAATTCCCAATAAAACTATATGGTTCTTCCTTATTACTATTCCTTTTGCCCCATGTCTCTGTTTACTGTCCCTATTTTGCATTTCTTTTTACTTTCTTCTCCTGCTTTGTTTGCTAAGTGATATGTTACGACTCGAACTGCTGCACTTCGGTGCAAAGTTCTATATTGAAATCAGTCAGTCAGTCATCATGTCCTTATGCCTTGTCTCGTTTAAAATTGGAGACATCCTTTGTAACCGCAGTTACAGGCACAGGACCGATGTCTACATCTTATTCAGATAGGTATTGGATGCTGGGAAAGTTGAACGGGGCTGTAGAACAGTTTAAGTGTCCCTCAAAATGTTCCCGTCAACGTTTCAGTCATCTATTCTGGTAGCTCGTTAGGCAGCGCCTTTATCGGAGATTGTCTCACTCATGATTTTCCTTTTTCAACTTGTTTTTCTAGTGAGCCTAAATAGTCCTATGGTTACTATCATCAATGTCTTTTCCATCTCTCGCTCTTGTTGCTCACCAGTGTTTTCAGTCGTCGAGAAAATTTTCGGTCATTTTCTGTTTGAGTAGCTTTTGTTCCTCATAATGTTCAGAGCCTACCGGAATCGGTCTTCTTGAGTGAATTAGTTCTGATGAAGCAACAAAAATTCACTGGCGTTCTCTAACCACAGGTTCTAGGTTACCATAAGCCATTACCGCTGTTTCTATAGCTGACTGAATATTATTCCATTCTGCCTCAGGATCAACCTTGCTGTCAATCTCAGATAAGCATTTAACTATCTTTCCCTTTAATAGCAACTCAGTGTATTGATCAACTTGGGGGCGTAACAGCTTTACTGATGTCTGTTTTCTATGTCCGTTCAATCATAGCTATATAACTGCATGGACTAGGGCGTCATTACGATCAACTTTGTACCAAAAGGTTTGGCGTCGAGCAGTTCACAATTTTCCACTGATGAATGAGAATCTAATGGCCCATGGGTACCAGCCACTGGTAATTTATGATGTTCTCACACTTTACTAAATAGTATATGCGTATTTATAGGCAATGAAAAAAGTTTTTCAAATGATACATACCTCATTGTCTATATTAGGCTCATTAAAAAATCCATCAGAATCAACCAAACAAGATTTAGGTACCCAGTCTATTCGACGAACTGATTTTAATGGTTCAGGAAGTTTAATCAGCTCCTGCAAAAATCGATCACTTGTACTTCCATCATCTGTAGGTGAATTTTCTCGACAGAGTTGTTCTGAATTTCCTCTTAAGTTCCACAAATATATAAATGGTGAAAGACCAGCTGCAAACAAATAATGACCTTTGCTGAATCAATAGTAAAACAGATAATAAATTATTTAGCACATCACGAATGATAATAAGAACAAACAAAACATTTCTGATTTGAGTGGACTCAAAGAAGAAGGAACTGTAGCTCAGTGTTCCTAACATTCAGTTCTCTAGTGAACAAGACAAAAAACATCCGTAGGAGTGACTGATTAAGAACCTCCAATTGTTCACTTTGTTCAATAATTATTTCTACAAACCATACAACCTGATCACACAGTTAATGTCAGTCGGAGTGCTTTTTACATTTATTGATGTTAAGATTCATAAATGTGCACATAATTTCCATACTTTATGAGATTTTTGCTCAGATTTGTTATGCACAAAAACTTTTCGTTACTACAGTGGGGATATGTGCACAAGCAGTCACTGTGATAGATGACCGTTGTACCTCTTGTGAATCACACGTGATTTCCGAAGTATTGACCTGGGTAATATATCTGGACTTCGGTAAGAAAGCTTGTTTTGGAATACTGAAAACCCACTCCAAATATATATAATATATATGAATTATAATACGTCGTTGGCTAAATGGTAGAACACTGGTCAACCACGCAGGTGGTCCGGGGTTTGATCTTCGGGTGACGCATACCTTTACTTCTCTTAGACGGTGTTTATTCCGGTAAAGAGGAAAGGTTGGGCGTCGGGCTAGAAACCCCATCTAGTAAAAATACCACTCCTACTGAAATTCCTAAGCTCTAGCTTGAAACCGTATGTTCCACTGGGAACGGAAATGAATAAAGTAAAATAAAAATATGAAGTATATATGGTAATACTGTGAAATGAAACACACAAACCTGGTAAATGTAATTGTTCTGTACGATGGATTTGAGTAGTCCCTGTTAAAAAGTCTATACAAACAGTCAAGTGAATCTGTGCTCCATACATAAATGGATCCATCTTGGAAACAAGATATAATTTGTTTACCCGAGGTGGAATGAAATTTACCTAGAATCAAACATTTCAAAATATTGCATAGAACGGTTATTCATAGGTTAAGTTCGTCATAAGATTTATCCGCGAATTCATTATTTTTATATTAATTTGACTGTCTTTTGAAATTAACAGGAAGAAATTAAAAAGCTTCCGGGTAATAACCAATAACGTACTCATTTAGTCTGTAAAGATTATAAGACTGCTCTACATGGATGAACTTGAAACAGCGCTTGTGGGAGCTGTTCATTTAGAAAAATGAAAAAGGTCTATTTATATATTTGTAAATAATCTGTAAAACAATGAAGAAAAACTGAAGAATAAATGTTAGTTGAATTTAAGGTTTGTGGAGATTTCGTTCATTTCGAACCTAGATTTCCTAACGAACTGAAATCAGCTGAAGAATCCTTGAAAACCAAGAAACACTGGATGGCTGTTTCTTCCTAGTCTACGACGTGCACTTACAGCTTCACTAGGGATCAAGGCTATGACTAACAATAAACCAGTCAATTCTGGGGCTTTTTTAACTCTAATAACAACACAATAGAGTGGCAATTTTATGACTTTGGGCAAAACACTATCTCACACTATAATACGTGCATACTTTATATAGTAGTTTCGCCATCTTTTGTTTTTATTTGCGAAACTGTTTAATTGTTGCGTGTCTGGATTCAACTTCGTTCTACGCTTGATGGAAACCAACGAATGGTCAATGGTCACTTAAGATGTTCGTAGAGAATCAAAATGAGTTTTCACCATGAGTCCTCATGAAATTAGAGTCACGAAAAATCAAGGATTACTTATCATTTAACTAGATCTTGTTCGTGAATTTACATTAAAACAAAGTCACGGATTTGTATGAATTAATTTTGGGATTCCCATAGTAACTTGATCGACACCGATGCCTTAACGAAAGCAACTACAGAAAAATTTTGAGGTTTTAGAGGAAATGGTTGTGTGGGTCTCATGCAGTAGCAAGAGTAAACACAGGTGTTACCAAAATAAAAATGAATTAAAGTAGTATAATCATGTAAACTATGAAATGAAGGCACAGATGAACTGTTGGATTTTCAAGATCAATTCTTTATATAGGACAACAGTTACCAACGAATGTTTTTAAGCCACATTATTAAAGAACAACCATCAAATACAGCTTGCGTCGAATAGAATCTACCTTATTTCAGGAAAGACAACTATATTTGACTGTACATAAACTTTGGTTAAGAACATCAAAGCTACCTTAATTTCACTGAAAACAAGCCTGAAAAAAAGAAGTGGAAGGCGCAAAGTACTGTCAAGAACCTGATAGAAATGATTGTTAAGGATCCAAAGAATATTAAAATCTATTGATAAGACCACAAGTTTTTAGATACCACCGACATGCACATGCAGTAAGGACAACAAAGACACATTTTTTATTGGCCATTATTATGAATTATATAATTCAAAAAGTGAGTGTATTTTGATATGAATATGCTTAAGACTCTTTTATACATAACAATAACACATCTAAATGTGTAGCTAACTATAGTGAACGAATGCACATGTTGATCGCAAAGCTTAGAGAGAGAAACCCTCTTTATTTATTAAATGATCACCAAAAAAAATTGGGTGGTGTATTATGAAAATTATAAACCTTCTAACATAACTGGCAGTTCAATGCATTTTACAGTCTCGAGGTGGGTGTGAGGGGGGGGGGGAATTCAGGCTTAATATTAAGCATCGAGAGTTGATGGTGGGTATGTAAAAACGCTTACCGATAAAAAATGATGAACAAATTAGATTTGAAGTAAGCATAGTCAATAGTGCATTACCTTTAAAAATAAAATCTTTACATAAACTAAAATAAACTTACAGACACAATATTTACTTTCTGACCTATGTGCAATTTGCAACGACACTTGAGGTTCTCTAGATCCCATAAAATTGCTTCATTCAAGGCCATAGATAAGAGATATTGACCAAAACTCGGTTGGATTGACATGTTAGATATTCTACATGTATGACCACGCAAAGCACCAATTTCTTTTCCAGATTCTAGAAGTCAAGTGAGATGCTTTTTAGCAAAATCATAAAAGAGCCATTTAATCTCATAAAAGTATCCTTTACTGTATAACTGTAACCGTTTAACATATTATTATCGATAATTTGGAAACTATTATCCTCCAATACTCAGTAATTTATTCATTACATACTTCAAATTCAAATTTCTTTGTGGAAAGCCATAAGAACAAAAGAATACAACGATTCCAAATGATGTTCTAATCGTCAAAAAAGATTTGTTTGTGACGACAAATCTAACCACACAACCAAGAGATAACTAATTTCTTCTCCAATGAACATAGCAACACCTACTGATTTATGCTTCACTATGTCACATGCATTTCAATTCCAAGGTAATAGACCAAACAGGATGATTAACATCAAATTTTTAGCAAATTATTCTCTTCATACACACTATGGAGAAAATCTGAACGAGTTAAACTCAATACATATAATGTGAATTCTTTTGGCTAGCCATAAAATTGGTCTGTCCTCTGTCTGTCTGTTTTCGACATAGAACTTTGCACAAATGTGCGGAAGTTCAAGTCGCCACATTCCGTGTAGCACGCGAAGCAAGAGAAGAAAGTACAAGAAAAGCATAATAGAAACAGTGAGCAGAGGTGTGAGACAAAGGAGTAATAAAGAAATACAAAACAGTTTCATTGAAGATCATAAGTCACAGGGAGTGGATGCATCTGCGCCACTGAGAACGATTTTGAGCCATGTCACCAATTGTTTCCAACCATAGATTTTTACCGTCCCGAGGACCCCAGCCTGGAAGTCTACACCTTCCTACGTGGCTTAGACCAACTGTTGTGGATTTCATTGACTGATGCCAAGTTTTTGTTTGACCGCCGCTAGCTTTTTTCCAGCCTGACCCTATATCCGCTAACATTGCTCGTCGAGGGAGGCGATGGCTTGGCATACGTAACACATGTCCTAACCATCTCAGTCTTTGTAGCTTCACGACTTCGTCGATTGATTTCCCCTGTTTACCTAGAACTCTACGCCTAACCTCCATGTTGCTCACCTTATTATGCCACTTTACACGGGAAATAGAACGCAGGCACCTATGATCAAAGACAGCTAGTCTTTTCATGTCTTCCACTCTCAGTGGCCAGGTCTCACAACCATAAAGGAGGACGGAGCGGACTGATGAGCAGTACACCCGCCCTTTGGTCGATAGTCGAACATCTCGTCTACGCCAGAGTCGGCGTAAACTAACAAATGCGAAACGAGCCCCTTGTATTCGTGCTGAGATTTCGTCAGAGATCAGCCCGTTGGGGCTGATGGTACTTCCCAAATAAGTGAAGCGGTCAACGTGCTCTACCACTTCACTTCCTATTTTTAAACTAGGCGTCGATGTAGTCCAGTCCTGTAACATCATCTTGCATTTGGCGGGAGCGAATCGCATGCCAAACATTCGTAGATTGCGGCTCAAGGTGTTTAGAAGACTCTGCATTTCGTCAGCGTCTTCGCCTAGAAGGACTATATCGTCTGCATATTCCAAGTCAACGAGATTATTCCCCGTAGCAAGTCAATCCCTGAGTCGCTGAAGTCACCTAGGGTTAAGTCCATTAACACATCTATGATGAAGTTGAATAGAAAAGGAGATAATGGGCATCCTTGACGGACACCACTGGTCGTCATCAGTTCAGATGACAGCTCGCCGTAAGCCCTCACCTGGCTGTATGAGTACGAGTAGAGTGCCTTAATCAGTGCAATATATTTTCTTGGAATTCCCTTTACAGCCAAGCATCTCCAGAGAACTTCCCGATCGACAGAGTCGAATGCTGCCTTTAGGTCAAGAAATATAATGACTGTTGGACGCCGGTAGGAATGCCTATGTTCTAGAATCTGTCGGAGGGTGAAGATATGATCAATACACCCTCTTCCTGGTCTAAAGCCTGCCTGGCTCTCTCGTGTTTGTGCTTCCCGAGCACCACTCAGTCTACGCATGATTATTGAGCCTAAGACTTTAGATACTATATTAGTCAAGCTAATCCCTCTGTGATTATCACAGGAAGACTTGTCTCCCTTCTTGTATATGGGGATAATCAGTGACTTACACCAACCCGATGGGACTTCTTCTGATTCCCAGACGCTGCCTAGTACCTCAGTTAATCCGGACAGTAAGCTGTCTCCACCGTACTTAAATACCTCTGGAGTCATTCCATCAGGTCCCGCTGCTTTGCCTAGTTTCAGATTGGTGACAGCTTTAGTAACCTCAGTTAGTGACGGAGGACCTGTGTCTATATCCCATTCAGGGAGGTGTTGGATGCTCGGAAGGTTGAGCGTGGCTGTGGGCAAATTAAACTGCTCCTCATAATGCTCTTTCCAACGATCCAGTCGTCTATCCTGGAGCTAATTATAGTGCCATTTTTTTCCGAGATTGTCTCACTAATGATTTGTCTTCTCCCACCCGTTTCCCTGATGAGTCCAAAGAGTTGCCTGGTGTTGCCTATCCTCGAAGCTTTCTCCATCTCTTTGGCTTTTGTCGCCCACCACTGTTCACGGTCCTTGCGGAGACTTTTCGTAAGTTTCCTCTTGTGCAGCTTTCGCTCCTCATTGAATTCGGAGCTCGCCGGAATAAGTCTTCTAGCATCTATCAGTTCGGATGAGGCGGTGGAGATCCAGTGGTTTTTACTCACCTTTGGGTTTACCTTATTCACAGCTTTTACAGCTGTATCTATGGCTGCCTGGATATTTTTCCAAGCTTCTTCAGGGTGAGCACAGCTGTCGAACACAGATATGTGTTTAGCTAGTTCTTCCTGAAATACGGATTTAGTTTCCTGATCGAGCTGGGGACGTGATGGTTTTACCGCCAGCTGTTTCCTACGTCCGTTCAGTCGTAAGCACACCCGAGCGCGGACCAGTGCATGGTCGGTATCTACGCACGTGTTCCAGAAGGAGCGACAATCTCCTACCGACCCACGCCAACGATAGCTTATTGCTATGTGGTCTATTTGTGTCCAGCGTTGGTTTGATGAAGGGGGTCTCCAAGTCAAACAGTGTCTCTCCTTGTGTTTAAAGTTAGTGCTTACAAGAAACAAATGATTATCAGAGCAGAACTGTAGGAGACGGTCACCGTTGTCGGTTCGCTGGCACGGAACTCCATAGGTGCCACCGACATCCTTCTCAGATTGACACAATTTCCCTACTTGAGCGTTAAAGTCACCAGCTAGAACGACTATGTCTGAGCGTTTAGCCTTTCCACCAAACTAGACAGCTTTTGGTAGAACTCATCCTTCGTTTCATCTGAACTGCAGTCAGTGGGGGCGTAGGCGGAGATTACGAAAAGGCATCGGCGAGTAGTGCAGTCCTTCCTCCTTCTTACTGATCCGTTCAGGCGGACAGCACACATTCGGCTATCTACCGGGATCCAGTCAAGCAATGTCTTTTCTGCCCTAGTACTCAAAGCTATCCCTACGCCAGCTAATCCTCGTGAACTAGCTGTGGCATCTCCTGACACCCTCAGGGTGAATTTTGCAGATTCAACCTGTTGGCCAGGTGGGGTTAGGTGAATAACCACACACCATAAAATTGGTAAAGCGCAGCAGATGACTACCGAATAATCCTATTACTACGATATTTAGAATACACTAAATACTCTTGATTTTCGGTTCCGACCCCCGGCCGATACACTCGCTAAGCCGGTAGTAAACCCGATAAAGCGGGAAGGGGGGAAGTTGGGCTTGAGACTATTAACTCCACCCAAAAGAATACCACTGCTACTGAAACTCCGAGGCTTAAAGCTTGAAGCCCCTGTCCCACTCGGATGTAAATGACTAGAATAGTAACAAATACGCTTGACAGCTTAAAGTAACATTAAAATGAATGCGTCCAAATTCTACTTCACCACTAGTCTTGTGCTTGAGGAACTAATTAACCTACTTTATGCTATTAGCCATCAAATATAACAAATGAAAAACTTTATTAAGACAACGGCTAATTACTGCAGTACAAAATAATACAGATACTGGAAGTGTCCTTAAACATCATTTCAAACGATGAAATGAAGAGTTCATTATCATCCAATGTGATAAGTGTGTACAATTTAGTGTCAGATGAAAGAATTTCAGTGCATCTAATTGAAATAATGAGTTAACGGTGTACCATCCGATTATTTAAGTGCAAAATATCTATCGTTGGTAAACAGTCTTCAGTGAGAGAACTGCTTTTTTAATCTACCAATCAGAAAAATTGAAATAATGGTTAAAAAATATTACCTTGATCTAAGATTCTGATACTGTTGTCGTTCACACAAACTAGTACATATCCAAATGATTCACATGAACATATGCTTGTAACAGTGCAATTCAGTGAAGTTAACAATCGATACCTAGTCGTATTTTTTAATTAAAGTTACACAAAATTTACCAATTTTTCACGAAGTCTATGCAATATAAAGAACCAGAATTCAAAGCGAGATACAGCTTGTAACCTCCAGCAGCAAAATTATAGGCAGAAATTTGACTTGGTTTCACAGATAATCTATTATTACCTGGATCAGACTTCGATGAAAATACTGAAATAATTTCGCTAAAAATAGTAAATAAACAATATGGTTCGCTCCAGAAGAGATTAAACGCAGCAACCAAAATTTAAAATAGGGCGTTACTAACCACAGTAGTTTACATTGCGGAAAACATTACAATACGCAATTCAACTACGTAGCCATATTAATTGATTTAACTCTGTTTTTCAGGTTGTGCATAAAAATATCACACTTTTCGTTATCCGAATCTGACACAAAGTCATAAAGTTACTTCCCTTGTATTACTCATTTAAACTCTAAATTTTCCGGAGTTATGTAGTAAGCGTTGTTCTGCCCAACTCATGCTGTATATAACACAGCCTCAAAACAACAGGCTGAAACGAGTGGATGTATAAACTTAAAGATGATTTAGTATCATAACAGTATCCAACAGAACAGATATTTTTGTTCTTATTACGTTTACAACTCAATGGAGATGAAGACCATTGAGTCCGAAAGATAATGCAGCCCCAAAAGTATCTTACTACCAAATTCATGGATAGCCTGTAGTTAGCTTTAGCTACGTGAAAAAGGTGTCCTATTTAAACAGTCCTCTAGCGCTTCCATGAAACCTTTGTCACTCCGGACACTGACACCATCACCTACATACAACACCACGAACTCGTAGGCTTCGACACTTTTAATTAGTTTTTTCCAGACCTCCCTGTAATGATGATACCAAGATGTTTATTAAAATACTAGATTTCAACTATGTAGCAGCTTTAACCCATTTTAGAAGGCCAAAATAAAACAATAATGTTAGGGGACATATGTATCTCATTTAAAGAATAAGACCAGTCTTCGTAGGTTAGTCCCAAGGACGTCGTTGAGGATATAATTTGGAGTTTCCTCTGACGACAGAAAATAAGGTAGATATGCCCGAAGCATATTTGGAAAACACAAAGTCTAAAGAACTATTTGTAAGTTGTCACCTCTAGGCTTACTCAATTCATTTTACCAAAATGTCTCGTCAGCTTAGGCAAAATGCTAAAGCGTCAACTAGATGTTTCCTGAATTTTATGTTCGCACCTGGCTTTGCTCGTTGTCAAGCTGTTTACGGAACCCTGGTGAAGTCGGCCTTAATGCTCTCATGTAAAAAAATTACTTTTAAATTGATTCTTTAGCCATTATTGTCAGAAAATTCACCTCGTCGATGACAAATGAAGTTGGGGATCAAGTTATTGCGGTCTCGGAAGATTAGTTACGCGACAATCGAGATCGCGCAACAATTAAAACACCAAGAGAGCAAGTATACTTACTTACATAATAATCATAACATGACTCAATAATTTCATTCCGATCAACCGCTAAAGGAGCTTTGCAATCGTGCATAACAAACAAATGCAAAAATAACTCTCAATTTGTTATTTAGTAATCGAATTCCTTCACCGGAACATGCCGCTAAAGCCTCACCGAATGTTATTACTACTGCTACCATAAACTGAAATATTTTACAATTATTTGTGCTACAAGGGACTTACAATAATGTCAGTCGTACTGTTTAGGTAATAATTAAATCTTGCCAGTCTGTCCTTTACATTTTGTTTTCTGAAGACACTTCAGGAAGCCTACTGGGCGGTTTGGAATTACATGCCGTGTAACTATGCCAGCTAACAAACAGAGACTACTGTTTTAGGTTTTTACGGTACTTTTTAATGTAAATACAAAGGGATTAATTTCTGAAATGTTTTCTAATTATAACATGGTGCCTTAAGTAAGGCACTATTGTTTGATTTCATATCTCAAAGGAATCACTTACAAAACGTTATCAGTGTAAGCCATTTCTATATAAATTCCAATGTCTTCAAACCCACTTGTGATAACTTCATCGTTTAATTAGATTTTATCTGTTATGTTTACAGGTCACCATGAAATTCTTAAAAATATGAAGGATAAAGAACGCGGCTATACGCACTACGATGTTTTCTAATGTCTTTCTTGTACTGTTATGCTAAAATATCCAATTATTGATCTAGGTATCAAAAAACGTTTTCCAGGTATTAAAATCATGTTATGGAATGCAATACTGTTAGAGAACTTGTGATTGAATAAGAGGAAGAGCAGGAAAAAGTGGCTAAATAAAGGGTCAAAAGGAGTTCAAAATGGTTAACCAACTTTAAAATAGTAAGTAAAATGGGAGCATAGTCCAGGAATAATGGGTTAGTAGCAGTTGCATAGTGAGAAATTATTGGGTAAACAAGGGTAAAATAAGTATCAGTTTAAGATGTTCAGTTAGTGCGTAAAATGCTGATAACTTTCTCGTTGCACAACTGCGCAAACTATGCAAAAATATGCTAGCACAGTATTCAGAAACGTAACTGCCCCACTAAAAAATCATTCAGGCCTTTTCATAAGACGTGCATACACAATAAATCCTCTAAAATGTCTCAATAAGAAGCTAGTAGTCTTATTGGATAAATTTCCCGAACGGTCATACTCACCCTCTGGGTTTATTTACTGGCTTGATTTTGAAAACCACACCACTGTTTCGTTGAGTTATCAATAAACCGCGCATCTTTACTATTTTGAGCATGTGCGTAAATTAAGCGTACACACAAACGATGTATATAAACAAAAGAGGTACGAGACAACTAAAGTCCCAAATTTGATTGGCATAACATATCCTGTGTGATTCAACTTGATCTAGCAATATTCTTGGACGTAGCCTTCTTAAGAAATTTTACTGAAACCATAACGAATGAAAATGGAATTTTTCGTGAGTCCAAACTAGAAGGACGTTCCTGATCTAGGGAGAAGTTGTATTGAGGGGCTTTCAGAAACTTAGAAGCATGTAAATCGATAACACTATAAATATCTTGCATACCGATCAGCAGATATGGTAATGGTCACAAACGTGAATTGCTCCAAGCTGTGGGACAGCAATATGCATTTTTTGGCAGCTCGAGAATTAAACATTAGTCTGGACCCTCAACAAAAAATAAGGGTTGTGCATGTTTAAGTTATAAATAAAAAAGTGCTTTTGTTCCTAACATCTACAAACCTCCTCAGCTTCTTGTCAAGATGCTACCTCACAGGCCCTGTAGCAATTCATGAGACATCTTATAGGTAAGTTTGTTCTACAGCTTCTTATCATTCAGATCTTTGAATTCACTTCTCGCTTACATATCACTTGCCTACCTTACAATAATCTTTTAATTTACGCACTATCATACTCTATCTGATCTTAAATACCTAGGCCATTATTAAAACCAAAACTTGCTCTTTGTTCATATTTGTTGCTTGCCCAAAGTCTAGTTGCTTTGATTAAAAACACAACAACACCAATGTTTAAACAAAGCTATATCTTCATCAGAAACATCATATTTTCCATGCTTAGACCAATATGATTAGCGTTAAACATTGAAAATGTGTGCTATCATATCAAGTACTATAAAGCTGCTTCTTGTATTTATCTTGTAAATGTACTTTCAATAATGTATTGTTCATAATTGCATTCTATGCCATTTTGCGGCCGCGCAGAATTTTCTTCTCTTCCTTAAAAAGTGTTCAATCACGCGGTGGCATACCACTCACCCAGATATACTTTGTCCACTGGTAGACCATAACTATCAGCATGAAACAGAACGAAGTTTGGGTTGTCCATCAACTTTGATGGTAATAATAGAAAACGGTGCACAATTTGACATTTATGAGAACCTGTTCTGATTTCTTGTACAATAACTGAACAATTTAAATTTTTGAAAAAGTATTGATTTATGATACTTCAGGATTGTAATTTATAACATTACTGATAGGTCCTGTAGAAATGGCATGAGTTTCTTGTAAACTTAGCCGTTTATACGAAATATAAATTATTACGGTACAATGACACTAATAGCAAACACACTGGGCAGGGTGTTCGTTTTTAAATGTTCCTTTGAGTAGGACATTCAAAACTAGGCCTGAAACTGGGGAGTAAGTAGTGAGACAAATCAAATTAAGGGCCAATTACATGGCATATAGCTATATGGGGATGACGCTACCCTCTTTATCTTTTGGGTAATTGCACAGTTAAGTTGATTCAGGTCGGGAATGGTTTGATTTTTTCGGTCCAGGCGGATGCAGCTCTCATGACTTTGATGTTTTTGGCTTTTATTGCGTGAGTGTGTATAAGAATGATTGTCCGATACTGTTCTCAAGTACGGATGTTTTGTTTGTGTAGCAGGAGGCTTAAATAATGTGTTTCATGCAACGATTATTTGGTATGCTTCATGCACATTTTGGCGACTGATTTTTGAAGAATTTCTTTGCAGCTTGAAAACAGCCTGCACACGGCGTTACACTTTCCGATCAGCCCGAATGCAGGGACGTAAAAATATAAGGGTGAGGATATACGTTATGACGTGTTATATTTTCCGCGACTCAGGTTTTTTCGTATTTCATTGGCTAGAACGGTAGCGGTCAATTGGATATTTGATTTGTCTTCGGTAGGTCGTATCGTGTGAGGTTTTGTGTGGTTGTGTTATGCGTCGTTTGCAAGCAAATTTGACAAAGATAGATGTAATATTTGACTATTTTAACATTGTTTCACTGTTTTTTACACAGATACACTTCTCTTTTCGCTATAAACTCCCTGGAAACTGGTTAGGCATTATGGTTCCTATCAGTGACTACCATCCCTGGGTGCCAGTGCATTTCTTGAGTTGTGGTTATAGGTACAGTATTTCCTACTTCGTGATTTCTCACTCACATAGTCTGGTATCCTGTGTTTCTTGCGACTTAGCTGTCACAAGCTGTTGCAATAATGTGCTTTGTTAACGAGCCCTTCTCCTAGAATTTCATCTCAGGTAATCAGTGCGAGCGCAAGCAGCACATATGTAAGAAGTTACAAAAGCATTAGAAGACTTTCAAAAGGCGTGAACTTCATATATTGCTAACAGTGACGAACTTTTCCGCATACCAGTATGTGGATGCGTTCACATGCGTATAGGAAATCCATGAGTGAGACATTGTATTTTAGTGGGACAGGTTTGTGAAACTTTCATCTAGCTTGTATGTTTCGCTCTAGTATTTTTGTCCCTCAGACCACTAACAAAGTATTATCAAATGTATTCTTGTAGTATGATTCGATGGCACAATTACTGGCAGTTAATAATATTATGTATGCGTTATGTTCATGATATTTTCTGCACCATTAACGTGCTCCACATTTCAAAAAGAGTGTAACTTAGAAAGACTAAACTTAACTTTACTCAACTGTGGTCATGCATGTTAATTATGTAAATGCTTAATTTATGTAAGTGAATTTAGTCTGTATCACTTTTAGGAATGATGGGTCGCAATGAGGTCTGTCAGTTAATTAAATTCAGTGAAAGCAGATGTACTGCATTCGGACAAAGGCATCCGAAAAACAGTGATGAGCGTTTTACGACTTATAATCGGATACATTTGCATAATCAGTTTTAGAAATTGATTCTGCATACAACAAGTGGAGGTAAGTTCACTCATTCATGTATAACCATGCAGATATTCTTTTTTACAGTTTGTGATACCGGATAGATTTGCATGTGGGCATAGAGTTCTGTTTACTTGAATTTTGGAAGAATTCAAAGGTGACGCACTTCGGACACTGGACAGTTTCCGTCGAATAATTGGAGATACTTTGCAAACGAAGACTTTCATCTTTGACTGTGCTCAGATAATACATGTAAATAAACTTGTTTGCGTGGCAGTAAAATAAAATTTTCTATCTAATATTCTTGTGTTGTATTTGTTCTGCATGCGGTGGGAATACGGCATGGTAGACCGGTACTCCCTAGGATATGAACTCGTTACTGTATATAGGTGTAATTCTGTAGGAACACTATCGATCGATATAAGTAGTGAATTATAAGTACTTTAGTCAAGCCCAAAAATCTGCCTAAAGTTACGCGATTACGTCTCCTAGTCATAGGGAAGTCTGTAGGGACCAAGTACACAAATACTTCAGTATTTGAAAAATAAGAAATGAACTCGGGCACTGCAATTGAGTCGATTTCTTATAAGGTAAAGTGTATTCAAAAGTAGTTCATTACCAATATTTCACTTAAAGCGTGATGTCGATTCATATGATTATGGGTGTTAACTTACAGTGTAAGGTGAAGTGTACAAGAGACGAATAATTGAATAGGTTGAGCTGTAGCAATCGTAGTCACACTTACATTACACTAAAATATGCCACCAATTACTTCGTCAGGTCTCATTGATAAGTGATGCCTGCATCTAGTCATCATGACAAATATGGGTACACTCAGAGAGAACAAGAAAGGTCTGGTAAGCATGATGTTAAATATATTTAATGAAAAATAATAACAAGCAAATGTCTTTACGCAGTTGTTTGTCGTAATAATTGGGGCAATGTTGAATCGCTGTGACCGGGTTGACTGACGTTACCGGATATCTGCAAATAAGTAAACAAAGTGTTTTTTTAATTCGCTGAAGTAAGAAAGAAGTAATATTAAAGTTGAACGCTTTATATTTGCCTACCTTTGCTGAAAATGGTTCATTCTCCTTTCTCATTCTTCGTTCATGACAGCATTCTTCTGTGGTTTTTACTGTCACACATATTGTTCATCTTCTAAAGGATAGCAGCAAGCAAATAATAATAATTAGAACAGGTTATGATAAGAGTTAAATTGTAAACCCTTCACAATGAACACTGTACATTTGGCTAAGTGCTATGTCCTTGGAATGTTAGTATACATTTGCAATGTTTAATGCAAACCATATCGGTGTAAGCATAGAAAATATGACGTTTTCCATGAAAATACAGCTTTGTTCAAGCACTGGTGCTGTTGTGTTTCTAATAAAGCAACTAGACTGTAAGCAAGCAACTAATAGGCACAAAGAGTAAGTCTCAGCTTTAATAAAGGCATATCCAGTTAAGATAAAATGTAGTGTAATAGTGCACAAATGAAAAGACCATCGTGAAGTAGATAAGGGATATTTCAGTGACAGGTAAGTTGAAATATCTGCAACCTTACAATTTTCTAAATAACCTGACATGTAAGATCTCTCACAAATTTCTGTAGGGCCTGTGGGGTACCATGGATGGTTTGCCGTCAATCTGAGCTTTGGAAGGATGATTCACAAATGCAAAAGGTAATAATCATCGAAACTGAGGTAGTATTTTCTAGCTGTTCGGCATTTTTTCCTTTGAGGCAGTTTCTTATCAACAGTTTGCAGTATTCATAGTGAGTCTATAGGAACCTTCATTGTATCATGATTTTCACCAAATATCCCTTAACTCACAGAAGCAGGCAGTAACCCCATACACTCAAGCATTGTAACCAGAACATCACAAAATGCTTACAGATAACTTGTTTAGTAATAACTGCTTGAAATATAAGGGCTATAAGTGCATCTTTCATAGCCACAATTAAGTCATTAAGGATCTCAGAATATCTTAGTGATTTGAAACAAAATAATTATTAAGATTGATATAATCTATGTAACAGGTGTAGTAGTTGTATGACACACCTGCTAGCTACTAATCAACAGATAGCTGATACTCATTTTAAGTACTCTGACATTAAG